AAAAAAAAAAAAAAAAAAGAAGGAACTGCTTTATGACCTAGTGATTCCATTTGTGGGTATATATCTGAAGAAACCCAAACCACTAAATTGAAAAAATACATGCACCCCTATGTTCACTGCAGCATTATTTATAATAGCCAAGACATGGATGCAACCCAAGTGCCCATCAATAGATGACTGGATAAAAAAGTTGTGGTACCTACATACACACACTGGAATATAATTCAGCCATAAAAAAGAATGAGATCTTACCACTTGCGACAACATGGATGGACCTAAAGAATATTATGCTAAGTGAAACAAATCAGTTAGAGAAAGACAAATACCATATAATGTCACACATGGAATCTGAAGAACAAAATAAATGAACAAACAAAATTGAAACAGACTCAAAATACAGAGAAGAGACTGATGATAGTCAGAGGGGAGGGTGGTTGGGAGACTGGGTGAAAAAGGTGACGGGATTAAGAAGTAGAAATTGGGCCCTGCCAGCATGGCTCAGTGGTTGAGCATCGACCTATGGTCCAGGAGATCGCGGTTCTGATTCCCGGTCAGGGCACATGCCGGGGTTGTGGGCTTGATCCCCGGGGGGGAGGTGCAGGAAGCAGCGGATCAATGACTCTCTCATCATTGATGTTTCTATCTATCTCTCTCTCTCCCTTCCTCTCTCTGAAATCAATAAACACATATTTAAAAAAAAAAAAGTAGAAATTGGTAGTTACAAAATAGTTATGGGGATATAAGTAGAACATAGGGAATACAGTCAATAAGACTGTAATGACTATGTATGGTGCCAGGTGGGTACTGGAAATGCTGGGGGGAACACTTATTTATATATATATGTTTTTATTGATTTCAGGGAGAGAAGGGAGAGGGGGAGAGAGAGAGAGAGAGAGAAACATCAATGATGAGAGTCACTGATAGGCTGCCTCCTGCACACCCCCTACTGGGGATCAAGACTGCAACCTGGGCATGTGCCCTAATGGGGAATTAAACCTCCATGTCCTAGACCATAGGTTGATGCTCAACCTCTGAGCCAAGCTGGCTGGGCTGAGGGGAACACTTTTAAAGAATATAACTGTTTAACCACTATGCAAAATAATATTGAATATAAATTGTAATTGGAAAATAAAATTTAAAAACACACCCACTTCCTTTCCTATCCTCAAAAGAATTAAATTAAAAAATAGTAATAAGTGCCTTCCTTCAACTGAAAGTAGTACCAGGAAAAATTCACATTGAGTATCAATTATCTCTTTGTTAGAACAAACAAGAAGAAAACCATACAAAGAGTTTGGACCACTTGGAGCAATTATATACAACTATGGATAAAATGAAGAAGGACTTACCTCATCTACAGACACAGGCAGGACGACTCGACTACAAGAGAGGGAAAAACAATAACAACTTGAGGCTCTGAAACCTGCACAAGGCTCTTAAAGTATCATCTTAGAATAGTGTTAAACATTTTTTTGCACATGACACTACATTTAACTGTCAGAAAACCAGCAGAGAATGGCCCCAAGTGCTTCAAGGCTAAGACACTGTGTGCCCTTCTCGTATCCCATTTAGAGCCCTGTGATTCAGAGCAAACCTGTCCCCCAACCAGCTACTTCCCAGGCAGGCTTCTGACTCACGTTTGGAACTGCATTCTCCCTCTCCTCCATTAATCTCCCCAACAAAACTCGCCAATGAGTCTAGTAAAACAGAGAGGTTAACACAGGAGGACCTACCCCCGTGAACTCTGAAGTGAAGATGAGGATTCAGACCCAAAGAATCAGGCCCTGAGGATTCACATCTCTGTAGACTCAACCCTCAAGGTGAAAGGCTAGGAAGGGGCCAAGTTCCTTGGAGGCTGAATCACTCTAAGAGCATGCACCAACCATCTCTGCCCTGGGACAGGATATTACAATACAAGCTACTACCACAATGCCGCCAAGAGAGGGGACACCCAACTTGTGTCCTGACCCACTGGAAGCTGTCCAAAAGGCACCCCAACTGATCACTGTCTTTTCCTTCTCCATTTCAATGACCACTGATCATTGAAGGTACCACCAAAAACCTGAAAGAGAAGCCATGGCCTGCAAAGTCCCCACACTGGTCAGAACCTCACATAGGTGAGATGGTTAGCAACACTCCTCCGGGTGGCTTTCATTTGTCATGCAGAGCAAGAGACAACCCCTATTTCAAAGCTGTGAGGTCAGAGGGCTGATATAAAAAAGCTTGGGTGTATTCATACAAATCAAGCCAGCTTCCAAGCTGACATATCAGTTCCCAGACCCTAGCTGGAACCTCCCCTGGAGACTCCTGTATCCTGCGTGCTTGGTGAAGCATGAGCTGCTATACCCTCTGTCCTGTGCGGTGGTTCCACCAATCGGGATCCTTGCTCCAGACTGGTAAATAGTCCGCTCACTATTTTCTAGTTCCACAAAGGTCTACCAGGTAGCAAGAAACACACAGAGGGGTCTGAGAAAAACATCACACTACAGGCAAAGTACCAGGCAGAAAAGTAGCAGGAAAAACAAAATGGGTTCCAAGTCTTTACTTCCTGCTAACTCCCCTCATCCAAAATGACTCAAATAACATAAATCCTGAGGTTACTGGATGCTGCCTCTAACACTCTCCTCCCACTAGAAAAAGGAACTTGGCCCCCTCAAGCAAAAAAATATTTCCAGCTTGGAGGCCACAATTTCAGCACACTCAGTAGAAACTTCCTAGAAAATAATCTTCAAGAACAGCATTAAAAAATCACATCCAAGAATTTGCAGAAATCAAATCAAGGAGAATGCTGTTAGAGGAAGTATCAGAAAAATCAACAGGGACAACCTTCAGACCCTGAATGGACACCAAGTCTCCCCCAACACCCAAAAAAGAGAAGGGCATCATCCAGTTCCTGACAGGATGCTCTGAGGCTGTTTACATTACAGTTGCACAACGGGACATTTCTCCCTGGCTCATTGGGAGCAAAACCACTCCAGCAGCAAGAGTGCAATTCCAAAGGATAGCGCCACAGAGGGAGTGCTGGGTTGAGACTGGAGCTGTGCTCACTTCAGTGTGACCTTCACTCACACCCTTCCCAGAGCTGCAGTGCTGCAGCCACAGCCAAGTGTCTCAGATGCCCCCCTCCGTGTCCCCCGCCCAGGGATACACACACATGCTTGAGCACGCACAGGGCACAAGTCAGGCAGGAAAGAAACGCACATGCCAGGTAGGCTCTGCATGCCTGGCACCTTGGACCTTTCCCTAGCAGGCTTCAAGGGGAGGAGAACAAAGAATGGAAAGGGAGGACCTCTCTTCAAAACTCACTCAGATCTCTTTTGAAGGGCCCTTCCCTTCCCTGCCTGACCTTCTTTACAAAACTACAGGTTTCTACAGATTCTCAGATTCATCTGGGAATAGAAAAAAGGTTCAGGAGAATGGGAAAAGCCTGTTTTCTGGACAGTCAAGAATCGAAAGTGCACCATGCTCTCTTCCTGTTAGCATCCTAAGGTTCTTCCTCCTCACCACATAAAGCTCTGAGCTCTGGCTGAATCAACAACAGACTGGATATCAAGAAATTAACGTAAAGGGCTTAAAAATAATACTCTTTAGCTGGGATGACACCTGAGTTTCTGCACCCTTTGCTATCCAAAGCTCTATACTATGTCCTAAATGCCCTAAACACCTCCAAGGAGCAAGTCAGATGGGGAAAAGTGCCTTCACTGACAAAATGGAAACAGTCCTCCACACACTTGTCTGGCTACCAAGTGAGTTCCACGAGTTGCTCTCTACTTGGACATCTCTCACTTTCAGAATTCCTGGGTTTCTGGCCCAATACTGTCCACTTGCCCTCCCATACAGGGAAGCACAGTGTTACTGTAAATGCCACACACATAAATCCAATCTCTCCTCTTTGAAAAGCAAAAAAAAAATAGTACTGAGATGTTTTCTTGGAACCATGAACTTCAGGGATGGGTCATCTCACATTTGAAAAATTTAGCAATCCAAACATCCCCACCTGTCATCCAATCCCCTAGACTTCAGGAGCAAGTCCATCACCCTGCAGCTCCTCCCAGAAGTCACTAGTTTCTGCCCCTCAAGAACTCCCTCACCCTGCACTGTCTCTTTCCAATTAATGGCCTTATGGCAACCTCTTCAGTTCCTCAAAGCAAGTTCCCCATTTCTTTGCACCAAGGCTGAGAATTCCCTAGAGATAGGCTGCCCCTGATTCCCACCTCCACTCCAATGATTCTTTATTCACAAACATACACTCTTTCCAAACTGTTCTCTACCCTGGTAACATCCTAGCCCTCTCCATCTCTCCCTCATATCATGTCAGCCCCTGCCCAATATTTTCTGGACTCCTTACCCAAGTGTCCCTGAGTCCCAAGTAATCATCTTAAGCTTTTCTCCTCAAAACCTCCTCTTCTGTACCTAGCACTTGCGCACCATGTCATGCCACCTTAGGGGTGGGTCCTCAGACCCTTCTGTCACCCAAGCCTGGCCCTGACTCCCTCCTCCCCTTCCTTTATCCACTTATTACAATCTTTCCCTTGATACTTAAGGCAGCCATTCATTCTCCAGGTTCCCCTCAGCACTGCTCCCCATCATCTCAGCTCCATTCCTGAAGCTGTCTTATCTGATCTTCTGAGCCCCTCAGATCTTCTGTGCATCCCCCAAACCCCTCCCCACCACTAGCTAGCTCACCGACCCTGCTGCCTGCCCTTGTCCAACTGTTCCTCAGCCCCTCAGACAACTCCTCCCTCTCCCGCAGGTCCCCTCCGCCACTCCTGCAGTTCTGGCTGGTGCCTCCGCCCCTCAGCCCCCTCTGCAGAGCCACCCCACATCTCATCCAGTGCTCTCGATCCTCTCAGCCCCTCATGGCCTGTCCAGCTCTCATTGTCCCCTTGACCCCTTCTCAGCCTCTGTCGGGCCGGCATTGTCCCCTCGGCCTCTCCTCTGGCCTACTCAGCCCTCACTGCCCCTTGGGCCCCACCTCAGGTGTTGTCGGTCCCTCCCTATTCCCGTTGGCCCCACCTCAGGCCCTGCCGGCCCTCACTGTCCCCCTCAGCCCCTGCTGGGCCGCCCAACAGCCCATTCAGCCCTCTCCATCCCCTCGGGCCCAGTTTGGCCGCTGCATCCCCTCCGCCAGGCCACCTGCCTCCCTGGTCGTCAACCCCGACCCTGCCTTCCTCCTCGCTCCCGCACGGCCGGCCGGACACTCACTACTCCTTGAGCAGCACCATGTCGCTTCGAGGCTCGGCGGCTGCCCGCTGCCCGCCCGGCTTCCCGCCCGCTTCCCGGCGGCCGCTGTCCCCGTGGC